TTAAGGCTGCGGTCATCTCTCTTGGTTGTGCAGCGTTTCCTGCCACATTTCCCCCTTCCAACAGACTTTTTGTGGATGTGCTTTGAAACTGCACTCTGTGAACAGCTTGCTCTTTGAGAAATTTCTTTTTGTGTCTTACCCTCCTGATGGAGGGTGTCAATGACGGTCCTCTGGACAGCAGTCAGATCAGCAGTCTTCCCCATACTTGTGATTTAGTTTACTGAACCAAGCTGAGTGTTTTTCAAGGCTCAGGAAACCCTTGCAGGTGTTTCGAGTTAATTAGACGATTCAAGTGATTCGTTGAACACCCTACTAGTATACTTTTTCATGATATTCTAATATTTAGAGATAGGATATTTGAGTTTTCTTAAGCTGTATGCCATAATCAGCAATATTAAAATAATAAAAGGCTTGCAATATTTCAGTTGATTTGTAATGAATCCAGAATGTATGACATTTTTGTTTTTTTAATTGCATTACAGAAGATAAAGAACTTTATCACAATATTCTAATTTTCTGAGACAGTCCTGTATATACTGATCCTCATTGTGAATTATCTTTGAATTTATAAACATGTATGTAACATTTGAGCATTTAAACTAGACCTAGGTTATATTTTTTGTTGAGTTCTCCCAATTGTTTTCAACAATTTTCAACTAAGTCTTTAATTATAATCAAGTTAACAGTTTTATTTGATCTGCTTTATGATGAAATATCTCTGATTGTTGTGCATTAGTATTTTTGTTGTCCGGCAGTCATAAATTGCCTTTTTTACAGTTTTACGCCACATTTTTACAGTCTACTGAGTCCAGTAGTACAGTTTACTGTTTTAATAACATAATCCTGAGGTTTGTCATCTGCTGTGTTTCCCACAGCTGGATATAGTGCAGCAGGAGTACATCCATGAGTCGGGCCTGGAGCAGTTTGAGGTGGTCAAGGCAGCTTTTGATGCCTCTGGCAGCTGGATGGCAACAGTAGAAGAAAGAAATCAGAAAGCTGCTGAGCTGGAGCTTAACTTGAAATTGTGGGCATTTGATGAACAAACACAGAGGTACGGACAGCGAAACTACATCTGACATTTCTATATTCTGGTGTTTCATTTAAACGGATACAATTCAATATTAGACTTTCCAAAAGTGTCTTCAAGATTGTAGTTTTGTGAATCACACTGTTGAGGAAAGGTCAGTGTTTAGTATGAATATTTTATTTTTACAACCCTATATCATGCTTATGGTATCACCTGCAGTTTTGTGCTGAACACGACTATCTCGACCCCCCACGAGGCCCGGATTACAGACATGTGCTTTTGCCACGCTGCCGAAAGCCAGACCACCATGCTGGTCTCCACCAGCAAGGACGGACACTTCAAAGCCTGGCAGCTGAGTGCAGTGGCCCACACAGAGGGTGAGCAGTCCTGGTTCTGCTCTGTTCGACTGTGGTCATATCTACCTTCTCTATTGTAATGTATTATCTCTTCGATTTACACACGGCATCTATTGCACGTCTGTCCGTCCTGGGAGAGGGATCCCTCCTCTGTTGCTCTCCCTGAGGTTTCTCCCATTTTCCCCTTTAAACTGTGGGTTTTCTCTGGAAGTTTTTCCTTGTATTGTCATACTGTTATTCTGTACAAACTAGGGATGTAACGATATACCGAATATCGCGGTATCGCGGTAAATAAACGTCCCAATACCGTCGTGAGACTGACAAAATCTACCGCGATTTAAAAAAAATTAATTAATTAAAAAAATATATATTATTTTTTAAACACTTTTTTTTTTTAAACCTTTATTTAACCCGGTGGTCCCATTGAGATAATCGATCTCTTTTTCAAGAGAGACCTGTCCAACATGGCAGCAAGTAGGTTACAACATGAACATAAAACAACAGATAACACAAAAGGACATCGTATTTACAGGGCTACATTTACACACCTAGAGACATTGACAAGTACCAACAATATATTTATATCTCGCCCTGTCAATAAGCCTCACCTTCTTGGCAAAAACTGTATTGTTTTTGAAGTGGTGGAGAGACCATGCACAGTTTGACCCACTGCTGTCACCCATGGCCAAAGCATATCTCTCTGTCCCACTGAGGTGGCG